ATCTATCCAAAAGCCTGACTTGCACGCACATTGGGGTTACGGCCGTTGTGAACTAAGGGCTCTTTAAAGCAATCAAGCTCATTGTTGAGGATGAGTCTGGGCCTTTGAATGGCTAAGAAGAGCAAGGAGACATTTTCAAACAAAGCATGAGATTGTGGATGTCTCAGCTTCTATAGAAAAATGGGCAGGGAACTGAACTTTTTCTGTCCGGAGGTAGGGGAATGGTCCCTGCCTGAGGATGTTAGGGCTGACTTGGTCTTGGGCTGACTGGAACTTGGGTTTCTGCTGAAGTTCATCCGTCTAATCCTGTCTTCCATGCCAGCACCTATGGCTCCCAACCAGGCAGATTCATTCCTTTGTCCCCTCCCTGTCTTCTGAGATGGCTCCACCTCAAATGGCCATTCCAATGGAGACTGATGAGACTTTGAAATAGATCTCGAGAGCCTCCACTCTGCCTCCTCCTTCCCCCTTAAATAGCTTCTTTTCTCCTTCACCACTTTTTTCTACTCCTGCTCCTTGCTCTGCTTGCCTCTCTCTTTTGCCCTTCCTGTCTTAATAGATTGAAACCAACATCATGTTCCGGCTTCTTGTGGTCCCAGTAAATAGCTCTTAATGTGGCTGTGGTGGACAGGTGGAGTGGTGGTGAGGGTGTGTGTATCAATGCTGGGGGGTGGGGAGCATGTAGTTGGGGGACACTTGCCTTCCATCTCAGGTAAGGGGAGCAATACTCTGGGGTTTTGGCAGAGCCCTCATGGGGGAATGGACCAGTCTTGTCCTCAGAATACTCTGGGGTTTTGGCAGAGCCCTCATGGGGGAATGGACCAGTCTTGTCATCAGAATCTTCCCTTGCTATGGACAGTAGGAAACCTCAGTGATGATGTGGGATCACCTGGAGCCTTTGAGGACAGAACAGATGCTGCCATTTGTTTCTAGCATAGAGGATTTCATTACAGATGCACCGCTTCGATTTTCTTACTAAGTCTTCATGGCGTGGCAGCAGTTTTTCTGGTGCAGCTGCAAACAATAACTCACATGGGGCTAAAGTAATATGGCAGAAGAAGTTCAACACTGACATTTTCTAAATTGATGAGGAGTGGAACCTGCTCAGAAAGGGCAAGAGAAGATTAAAATCTCAGGTGGTGGTCTTCTGTGTGAAGCCCCTCTCCCTGCTTCAGGGATATAAGTTAGGGACCCTGGTGGTACAGTGGTTAAGTATCTGGTTTCTCACCGAAAGGTCAGTGGTTTGAACCCACCTTTCTTTCCTTGGGAGAAAGATGTGGCAGTCTGCTCCTGTAAAGATTGTTGTTGTTGAGTGCTGTCGAGTCACTTCTGACTCATAGCGACCCTGTATAGGGTTTTTGAGCAGTGGCTGGTGAATTCGAACCACCGGCCTTGCCGTTCAAACCAACCTTGTGGTCCAATGCTTATCCTATAGTGCCACACTGGGACTCCCTGTAAAGATTACAGGAAATCCTATGGGACACTTTTATCCTGTCCTAAAGGGTTCTTTTCATTTGGAATTTGGTTTTGGGGATCTGTTTTTAGCTCTCTTGTCAAAAGTGGTCACAGCTCTGTGAAATGCTGGAATGGGCCTTGTTTCTTTGAGAAGGAAAGAACCCTCTCAGATTCACTTCTCATCAGCTTCTATGTTAGTGTACAAGTGGGGGAAGGCACTGGCTTCTCGACCTTTGCTTCATTGCACCCCCACTTTCTAGACCCTGTGAGCTCAGATGTGAGGGATGAGGGGTGCAGAGACTGGAGATGATCCCAGGCCAGAGATGAGCACTTTGGGCACCCCCAGTGTCGGCTGCAGGGTGGGATAGGGCCCAAGAGTGGGCCTGTGCTCACCGAGGCCAGTAGTGTTCTAGGCGCAATAGAAGGATGGAAATAGGAAGGATGAAAAGCTCTTCAGACTCCCATTATCCCATGAACCAGACCCTGAAGTCTGAGTGTAGGAGAAAGATTCCTGCCTTTACAAATTTTCCCATCTGGAAGCAGCCAAATGAAGTCTATTTCGTGGCTCTTTTGCATGATGAGTCTGGGAGAAGTCCAATTCTTTGGAGGGATGTCATGGAAAGGGAGCCTCCTGTACCCTTTGATTCTTCCCTCTTTATCCCAGAAGCATTCATCCCCCTCTTTGGAGGTCTCCATCTAGCCAGGACCCCCTTAGAGTCAATGACAGGCAAGTTGGCAGAGACACCTAGAGCTTTATCTTGGCAACTTTTGGGGGTCCAGTCACAAGTGGCAAGTTGTTGGAGATTCAGAACATATTTTAGCCAAACAGCTCCAGCCCTTTCCAGTTCAGACCAGTCCCTTTCCCTGGCTGCTGTGACATGGGCCCAGTGTCCATTGATCCAGGGTCACTTGGGGGTGGACTGCTGGCCAGTGGCCCAAAGCTCCAGGGACAACTAGAGGCAGAGATGACCCTGGGCAGAGATGCAGCCACCAAGTATGGGGAGGGACTTGTGAGCCTTGTCAGGCATCTCTGCTAGTTCCCTGTGACCTAATGTGGTTGGCCTGTGGTGTGTGTGTGTGTGTTGATCAGAATGTTCTTGTTTTGTGGTTGTCTGATCACTTGTTTTTGGCCGTGGGCTTCTATGAGTGCTTATTTTTAGAGACTCCAACTTCTGGCCTGAGGGTTGTTCCTTGGGCAATATCCCAGCATTTGTATTCTGTGGTTTTAAATTTAAGGATTTATTTGGGGAGATGGGGTTCTGCCTTTTGTGTGTTTTTTCTACTTTAAGTGTGTCTGTGTCTGAGTGATAGGAGACTATGGTATATCAAAAATTACGTGGTCTTTGAGGTAAATTAGTTTTGATTTTAAATCCCTTCTTTAACATCTGACTGCAGATAAATGGTTTGACCTTTCAGAGCTTCAGCTTCTCCATGTTTAAAATAGAGATACTACAAAGTCAAATCTTAGAGGATTTGAAATAATAATGTGTCTTTATAAAATGTCTAGCAAAGTGTTTGGCACACGACAGATGTGCTCTGGGTTCTGGTGTTTCTGCACACACACACACACACACACACACACACACACACACAGGTGTCCAGTGGTGGTTCCAGGTGCTGTGTGGGTATGCCCATATCTGAGTGTTTCGGATCTGGGTGACTGCTGGTCTCTGTGTGGGTCTCTTTGTGTCTGGCTTTCTGAGTGCACTTGTGTGACCGCTGGGTGTTGGGGCTGGAGTCCGTGCAGTGTTTAGGAGGTTTTCTTTCTTGCCAACTGAGGCCTGGATGGAGGGAAGGCAGGGAGGCACATGCGTGTGCATTGTGCGTGCTTGGGCTGTGTGCATGTGCGCGTCTCCAACCTCCAGGCTGGGCTGCTGACTGTATGGGGTGTGAAATCACCGAGTTGCTCTGGGCGGGGGAAGTTCTTAATTCCTGAGTCAGCCCTTTGGCCATGAGCCACCCAGCGCTCACTTTTTCCTTTCAGAGAAAGTGTTGCTCGTGGGGGCCCCAGAGCTGTCTGCAGGCAAAAGGACACTGGGAACACTGTACCTTGATGGAAACCTCTAACTCTGTGTTCTTGATGCCCCCCTTCAAGCCTGGTCCCTGAACCCCTTACCCCAGCGCCCCCCCTCAGTGAGCCCCAGCATTCTGAGGGAGAATGTGTTCCTCCCATCCTTGGCCTGCTTGCTTTGTGGAACCTAGCCTTGGTCAACACTTCCAGGGGTCCTTGGCAGCCTTGGAGCAGGGGGCAGCCAACATGCTAGCTTTTCCAGCCTGCTGTTCCACCTGTCTGGCTTCTCTTGCTTTTCCCTGAATCGTCTCTGTGTAGGCCCAGCGTGCTGATGTTGGGAGGGGCCAGTGAAGAGTGGGCAGGACTGGAACTTCTAGAACTATGGTGGTGGTTTCAATGAATGGCATTTTCTGACGGAATAGTTTTAGAAGATCCTTTGTGTCTTAGAGAGCCCTAGCGCTGCCTTCCAACCCCCATGGGCATGTGGAGTCCCTTCCTGTCCTCCTCCTGTTCCCCTCAAGTAGTTTGTCAAAGAATATCGAGGACTGACTGTCTCCATCACTGTGTAACCTCCAGACACTGGCTGCCTCTCCTGAGTTTTCCTTATTTCTAGTGAGGAATCCCAGGAATCAGGGAGCAGGAGTAGAAGTGCACCTTTCTGAGGTGGGATGGGAAGGTGGACGGGTTCAGCTTTGTCTGTCTTCATCCACGAATTAATGATCATGACCGTGATGATGGAATGGCTCCTGACCATAAAGGGCAACTCATTCAAACTCGCAGTGTTGTAAGTCCAAAATGACGTTGCCATTTCCATATGGTTCAAGCTGCTCGTATGAGAGTTGTGGTTCAGGGGTAGACTTGCTGCCTCCAATGCAGGTAACTTGGGTTTGATTCCTGCCTATGCTCTTCATGTGCCACTGCCTCTTGTCTGCCAGAGGGGCTTGCTACAATGCCAAATGGGTTTCAGTGGGACTTCCAAACTAGAAGTAGGAGGACAGACCTGGTGGGCTGCTTTTAGAAATCATCCAGTGAAAACACCCTGGGTCACAATGGTCAGACCTAGCACTGAGCGCGGGGATGGCACGGGGCTGGTCAGAGTTTTGTTGCATTGTGCCTGGGGTCATAACGAGCTGGGGGCTGACTTGATAGTAGCTAACAACAACAACAATGCTATTATTATTCCCATTTTACAGACAGGAAACCAAGGCTCAGGAGTGAGCAGGGCTGGGGCTTCTATAGAATAATCTTTATGTGTGTGGCCAGGTAGCTAGTAAAATGCCAGAGCCATTTACTAGGGCACTTTGCCACCCTGCCCACTCCTAGGTTCTTCCTGGTCCCAAAGCTGTGTATTGGTGAGGGCTTTGCCCAAAAGCCTGGGGTGGGCGTGCTTTAGTCTTCCCTTTCCCCACTTCAGCTTTCTTTCAGGGTGCTCCAGGGAATGGCAGCTCTTAACTCCTTTCTTGGGAGAACAGAAGATGTCCCTGCCTCCACTGACCACTGTTATGTGTTGTGTCCCTGGCCCTCTCCCTTACAGAGGTGGTGGGACACACCCAGGGGCCGCTGGACGGGAGTCTCTACGCCAAGGTCAAGAAAAAGGACTCTCTGCACGGCAGCAACGGGGCCATCAATACTGTGCGCCCCACTCTCTCAGCCACCCCCAACCATGTGGAGCACACGCTGTCTGTGAGCAGTGATTCGGGCAATTCCACTGCCTCCACCAAGACAGACAAGACCGATGAGCCTGCCCCTGGTCCTGCCAGTGCCCCGGCTGCCCTGAGCCCCGAGGAGAAACGTGAGCTGGATCGCCTGCTCAGCGGCTTTGGCTTAGAGCGAGAGAAGCGAGGCCCCATGTACCACACCCAGCACCTCCGGCCCCGCCAGGCTGGGGGCCCTGCTGTGCCTTCGTCGGGCCGCCATGTTGTCCCAGCCCAGGTGCATGTCAATGGCGGGGCTTTAGCATCTGAACGGGAGACGGACATCCTGGACGATGAACTGCCCAACCAGGATGGGCACAGCGTGGGCAGCATGGGCACACTATCCTCCTTGGATGGGGTCACCAACACCAGTGAGGGGGGCTACCCGGAGGCCCTGTCCCCAATGATCAATGGTCTCGACAAGTCCTACCCAGTAGAACCCATGGTCAATGGTGGGGGCTACCTCTACGAGTCACCTAGCCAAGTGGTCCCTGCCCATGCTGACCACACGGCCCCCATGCGGCCCTCCTACTCTGCACAGGAGAGTTTAGCTGGGCACCAACGGGAGGGGCCCCACCCATCCTGGCCACAGCCAGTGGCCACCTCCCACTACGGCCATGACCCCAGTGGTATGTTCCGTTCGCAATCCTTTCCGGACACCGAGTCCCACCTGCCCCTAGCTCCAGCCCGCAGTGGAAGCAGCCGGGAGGCAGTGCAGAGGGGGCTGAATTCATGGCAGCAGCAACAGCAGCAACAGCCTCGCCCTCCTCCCCGCCAGCAGGAGAGAGCCCACTTGGAAAGTTTAGGGTCCAGCAGGCCCAGCCCTCAGTTTTTGACAGAGACCCCAGTCCCTGGTCTCCCTGAGTTCCCAAGGGCAGCTTCGCGGCAGGAGATTGAGCAATCCATCGAAGTCCTCAACATGCTGATGCTGGATCTGGAGCCCACTTCACCCGCTGCCCCCCTGCACAAATCCCAGAGTGTCCCAGGGGCCTGGCCAGGGGCGTCCCCACTCTCCTCCCAGCCCTTTCCCGGATCATCCCGCCAATCCCAGCCACTGACCCAGTCTAGATCTGGCTACATCCCAAGTGGGCATTCCTTGGGAACTGCTGAGCTGGCCCCACGAGTCTCCAGGGAGCCCACTCCACCTGGCAGGTCTTATTCGCCTTATGATTATCAGCCTTGTCCAGCTGGGCCTAACCAGAGTTTCCATCCAAAGAGCCCAGCTTCTTCCACCTCCTCTTCTGCCTTTCTTCCAAATGCCCACAGCCCTCCAGGGCCTCAGCAGCCCCCAGCCTCTCTCCCTGGCCTTACCACCACACAGCCTCAGCTCCCGCCAAAGGAGGTGGTTTCAGACCCATCCCGAACTCCAGAGGAAGAGCCACTGAACCTGGAAGGGCTGGTGGCCCATCGGGTAGCAGGTAAGAGCCTCAAGAACCATGGATCCTGGGTATTCCCTCCTGACACTTTCTGCCCCTCCCCACGTTGAGCTTGCCTGGTTTTGCTGGGGGAAGAGGTACAAATACAACCATCACTCCTGGTGGCTCTCCTTTGGCCTGGGCAGACTGTCAGGAATCATGTGCTAGGCATACCTTTCTGCCTTCACCAGGCCAGCCTCTGAGACTCAGAAATGACTGCCTCTTGGGTGCTGCCCTCAAGGAGCTTATAGTGTGGTTTGGGAACAGGTCTACAGTCAGATAATCCTACCAGAGTGCAATGCATCCAGTGTGATGGAGGTGAGCACCAAGGGCCTACCACCTTGGGCAGTCAGGGAAAGCTTTCTAGAGGTGGTGACTTTGGGGCTGGAGTATGGAGGTAGATGGTCTAGACAGAGAGGAGACACATTCTGAGACTGCCTGCAGTGTTCTGTCCTCACACTTGAGTTTCATGGAAAAGGAATGGGGGAGGGTTGAGGGAGGCCTTCACAGACACTCCTTCCCTCCTGAACCATGAGCCACTGCGAAGCTAGAGACTGTTCTTTGGCTCTGAGTGTTCAACTCTGCACGAGTCTTCCTGGGCATTTCCCTGAATAGGGGAGGGCAAGGCTACCCTTCTTTGTAGGATTCCTGTTGGACCTCGTTGAAGGACCAGCCTATTTTGGTGGGAAACAAAGTTCTATGTCCCTGTCAGAGGATGGGGCGGGGAGGTAGGACAACCAGAGGAGCTTGTTGGAGACATACAGGCAAGAAAATCCCCAGCAGGGCAAAACATCTGATGCCATGTTGGGCAGGACAGCTGGTGGCTCCCTTCTTTTCCACTAGACCAACTCATGGGGCAGCCACAATGGGTGGGCGATGCTGTGGATTAAATTGTGGTAGAGGTGAAACCAGGCAGGGGTGGAATATCAGAGTTGGGACTAGCTGGGTCTTGTGCCACCGCTCTGCTCAAGGAGGAAAAGGGGAGCCTAAGCAGCTGGTTCTGCTTTCCACCCCTTTCCCTAAATTTAGGGGAAGCTGAGTCACAGGCCAGCTGCAGGGAGGGAAGGAGACACCCTTCCTGGGGAGAGAGATGGTGGGTTTGGGGACGCAGCTGAGGGGGTGGCCAGCTGGCTCTTGACTAGGGTCCAAGATCTGAGTGTAGAGTATGGACGCCCTCTGTCTGTACTTCAGAACTGAGCAGACCGCCCATTCCCAGTACCCTGTCTGCCGTTCTGGCAGCGAGAACTCTTCTTGGATGCAGAGCCTGTCCTGAGCTTCCAGTTCTTCAGGCCACAGTGGACCTTCCAGTAAACACTGTCCTGGGGAGTTTGGGGCTTTCCATGGTTTCTTCACTGCCCAGTTTCACCTCTACTTTTCTTTCTGTGCAATGGACATTGTTGAAGAGCCATTGAGACCCTGCTTGGCACTTCCCTTAGAGTTAGCCTATCAAATCCCCTGTCTCAGACAGGGTGGGCTTTCCTCCACTTTAGACCAGTAATACTACACAGACACTCAAAAACCTTCCTCAGAGATGCCTTTGCTCAAGGCCTCCAAAGCCTTTGCCCAGTGTGATGGTTCACTGGAACCACCTCTAGAAGGTTGCCTAATGTAAGGGATAGAAAATAGCAAATAACCTCTCCTTTTAGTCCAAATCTCAGGGGGCAGATATTGGCCAACCTGAGAAGTCTAACCTGCCCTTAATCTGGCCTAGGATTGAACACTTGGCTGGTGGAGAGAACTGCACAGAAATTAGAGTTTCATTGGGCTCTATAAAGGTTCTCAAGAATACACAGGGCCAGTTCCGTCCCTGAGGAAGCCAAGGGACTCTTCACATGTTAGGCAGAAAGGCAAGTCTGGATCCTAAGGAGATGATGGGTTTGGGTTGACGTTATTAAAGTCACTTTCAGAGTGTGTGACAGGGTTGTCATGGTAGCATACATCTGCTTCTGAGGACGAGAATGGGGTGAGGAAAGGCCTGCTGGGAATGGCTCAGTGTAGTTACCATCTCAGTGCCATGAATCCCCTTACCTCTCACAGTTTGCATACCACAGTCTGACTAACCTAGAGACACAGGAGACTCAGCAGGAGTTTCTTGTTATCCCAACTCTCCCCATATGTCTGGGCTATATGAAACACTGGAATGGGAGGACCTTTTCCATTGGAGGACTGGAGCCAACTCGTACTGGCTTGCAAGTGAAGATGATTCAGTCTTCAGGAATTTTGAGAGCCAGTTGTTTAACTATGGGTAGTTTGAAATTGGCCATAGTGATAGTCTTTGTACCACAGAATTGGCAATTGAGGCTTCATCCTTTGGATGAAAATCAAAACACAAGATAAGTAGCTCTGTAATGCTAGGGGGACATGCTCCATGGGGTGCTTCACATGGGGCTCCTTTTAGTCCACATCTGGGCCCCTGAGATAATGACCCTCTTGGATTCATTATCAGCAAAGACCTTTCCCTCCTTTAATTTTTGGAGGTGAGAGGGATGAGGCTACCCAAATTTCCTAGGAATTTAGTTCACCTCCCAATATTTTATATAATTGGGATTGTGGCTTGATGAACAGTGCCCACTCTAGTGGTGGGTAAGAAGCAAGGTGAATTTATTCCCCTACCAGGACCCTTCCTTATAGCTCTCTGAGAGTTTGCTCAAGAGGAAGCTGTAACCCTAATGACCCTGGGAAAATGTCCACCTTGTAGTGGCCCTCCTTTCAGCCATTTCTCTCCTTCCAAGTTCCAAGTCTTTACCATCATCCTCCATATCCTCTAGCCTTTCAGGTTTGGGCTGCAAGAAGTCATAGGAAGGGTTATTGTGCCAACAGTGTCCCCATCCCCTAACCTTGCCACTATTTCCATCACTGACTGTGGGTGACTCAATCATGAGAAGGATGAGCTGTCTAGAGGAGAAGTCACATTTTGTAACCCAGGACTAGAAAGTTGCCTCTTGGGCCCATACTCAGCCACCAACAGAATTTCTTATTGCAGAAGTTCCTACTTGCACAACTACCTCAGTCCCCCTTCAAGGGGTCTTCAGTGGTTAACTAGATGAAGGGATAGAAGCATGACAAATGGAACAGGCTGAGAGCCAGCAAGGATAGACTTCAACACTACATTTTTCTGTTCATTCTACATTCTGTTCCTAGAAACTTTGACATGCGTAAACTGGGGAGTTCATGTCAGAGGGAGAACCTTTTCATGGCCAAGAACTTGATCTGGTTTCTCTTGGCTTTTCTCCCTTGTTGTTATTGTTGTTAGGTGCCATCAAGTAGGTACCGACTCACAACGACCCTATGCACAACAAAATGAAACACTGCCTGGTCCTGGGTCAATCTCACAATTGTTGCCATGCTTGAGCCCATTGATGCTACCACTTTGCCAATCCAGCTTGCTGGGGGTCTTCCTCTTTTTCTCTGACCTTCCACTTTACCAAACATGACATCCTTCTCCAGTGACTGGTCCCTTCTGACAATATGTCCAAAGTATGGGAGATGAAGTTTGACCATCCTGGCCTCCAAGGAGCACTCTGGCTGCACTTCTTTCAACACAAATCTGTTTGTTCTTATGGCATTCATGGTACTTTAAATATTTTCTTCCAACGCCATAACTCAAGTGTATCAATTCCTCTGTGGTATTACTTATTCACTGTCCAGCTTTTGCATGCATATGAGGTTATTGAAAATACCATGGCTTTGATGAGGTGCACCTTAGTCCTCAAGCTGACATCTTTGTTCTTCAAAACTTTAAAAAGGTCTTGTGCAGCAGATTTGCCTAAAGCAATGCATCGTTTGATTTCTCGACTGCTGCTTCCATGAGAGTTGATGGTTGATCCAAGAAGAATGAAGTCCTTGACAACTTCAATCTTTTCTCCATTGATAGAAATGTTGTTTATTGGTCCAGTGGTGAGGATTTTTGTGTTTTCTTTACATTGAGAAGCAATCCATATCAAAGGCTGTGCTCTTTGATCTTCATCAGTAAGTATTTTACGTTTCCTTCACTTTCAGCAAGTAAGGTTGTATCATCTGTATATTGCAGGTTGTTAATGAGTCTTCCTCCAATCCTGATGCCACATTTTTCTTCATATAACCCAGCTTCTCAGATAATTTGCTCAGCATACAGGTGGAATATGTATGGTAAAAGAATACAACCCTGTTGCATACCTTTCTTAATTTCAAACCATTCAGTGTTCCCATATTCTGTTTGAACAACTGGTCCATGCACAGATTCCTCATGAGCACAATTAAGTGTTCTGGAATACTCATACTTCACAGTGTTGTCCATAGTTTGCCATGATCCACAACATCGAAAGCCTTTGCATAGTCAATAAAGCACAGGTAAACATCTTTCTGATATTCTTTGCTTTTAGCCAAGATCCATCAGATATCAGCAGTGATATCCCTTGTTCCACGACCTCTTCTGAATCTGCCTTGAACCTCTGAAAGTTCTCTGTCAATGTATGCTTGCAGCCATTTCTGTATTACCTTTAGTACAACTTTACTCACATGGGATATCAAAGATATTGTCCAATTTCCACATTCCGTTGGGTCACCTCTCTTTGGAATGGGCACAAATATGGATCTCTTCCAATCAGTTGGCCAAATAGTTGTTTTCCAAATTTCTTGGCATAAATGAGTGAGTGCCTTCTGTGCAGTCTCACTTTCTTGAAATATTTCAATTTTTAGTCCATCAATTCCTGGTGCCTTCTTCTTTGACAATTCCTTCAATGCACCTTGGACTTCTTCATTTAGTATCATTGGCTCTTGATCATATACTACCTCTTGAAATGGTTGAACATCAACAATTTCCTTTTGGTAACGTGTCTCTGTATATTCCTTCCATCTTCTTTTGATGCTTTCTGTATCATTCAATAATTTGCCCTGAGAATCCTTCAATAATGAGAGTCGAGGCTTGAATTTTTTCTTCAGTTACCTCAGCTTGAGAAATGCTGAGCATGTTCTTCCCTTTTGGTTTTTTTGACTCCACATCTTCTTTGCACATTTCATTGTAA